ATCTTATGAAACAACTAAATAATGTTTTCTTAAAAATTATATTAAGGTCAAGTAAACTAAACAATAGTGCTCACAACCAAAATGTAAACTAAACATCGGTGCTCGTAACTTTACTTGTTTTTGAGATATCGGTAATGATTTTTTTACCCAGGACCTTTAAGCCCTGCTCTACTCTATATATATATATATATATAAATTATATATATATATATATATATTTATATATATATATATATATATATATATATAGATCTATGGTTTGCTCTACGTTTGACTTGTGTTGGCGGAAAAGCGGTGCTGTATATTTGAGAATATTCGGCTTGTATAGGTGTATTTTGATTGCGTATAATACGACAAGAAAGTCAAAGCGAACTCAAAGCAACCCTTTGTTTAATTTCAAATTATCGAGTGTTGAGAGCATGCGCTGCTAAAGAAAGGCAATCTTACGATGTTTGAAACGTGTAGTACATGATTCTGAAAACCACTTTGTAAACGTCACATGTAATAATAAATAAAAATTAATATAATTTAAAGTTATATAAATAAATATAATGAAAATTAATATAACTTAAAGTTAATAATTCTTCTTATAAAACAATCAAATAAAGTATACTTAAAAATTATATTAAGGTCTTGTAAACTCAGAAACAAAAACTTGTTAGTTTTTTTTATTCCTAAGTTTACAAAATACATAAGAAAATACTTCTGTTATAACGAATAAAACAGTGCTAAATTAAAGTTTAAAATACAAATACAAAAGAAAATACTTCTGTTATAGTCTTTCAAATATGGTCGTTGATCCCCCAATAGCAACGTCTTAACAATCAAGGTGATGGCTGGTTATATATCTCTTTTCGACTACTTTCAACTATTGTTGTTAAAAAATTCTTACCTTTATTCGTTTTTGAAATATTGGTGGACCTTTTTACCCACTAACATTTAATTTAATTAATTTCACCTACTTAATTTGATACCTAGGTGGTTTCCTAGGGTGATATGAATAGGATGATGAAGTCATTATCGTATTGTAAGTCTGCGATAGATATTATTTCAATATTCCACCATGGCCGAATATTTTCAATTGCAAGGCAAGCCTTAGCCGTTCTCATCGCTGTGCACTTTGATATAAGTGACAGTACAATATTCATATCGAGTACTCTCTCCTTGCAATAACATCAGCGTCGGATAAACGCCCGTGCGCGCACTGAATTCCGGAATTAGAGTTCGCTCCTAACAGGGATAACCTTTCAGTATTATAATTCAGAAGGCTTTCGCAACGAGATACATTTGCATATAACAAGCCGGCGAAACAGGCCGCGGGGGGATCGGGCAGGGCGTGGTTTTATCCACTGGACCGTGTTCCTGCACCGAACTACATCCTGATGAGCGGCGCGATCTGACCCCGTCGGCGGATACCGACACGGACACAGGATAGTTGGGAACAAATGAGCGCCCGTTCCTTCTGACATTGCGCTCAAAAATTAAATGATGCTGGCTGAATTCTATTCAAATTGCACACGTAAACTGCTATGTTGGGACGGATAATTGAGAAAGGGCAGGTCAGGTTATGATCCAGAGTAATTCTCGAAAATAATAAAGGATATTTGATCTACCACTAGACTCTGTAGTATTCTAATTTTATACTATTTGCACTATATTATCACAACAAATTAATTTCCCAATATTGCCAATTTAAATTTAAAAATATATAAATATTTTTATATCAGCATTATTATTCAAACACTCTACGACTCGAATATGATGAACTTCTTTATTTCTTCCGTTATTAGTTTTTTTTGGTTGTGAGCACTGTTGTTTAGTTTACGCGACCTTAATATAATGTTTAAGTATACCTTATTTAATTGTTTTATAATATGAATTGTTATTTTCAAGTACTTTTTATAGATTTTATTATATAACCTCTATAATAACTGACATATGAGTAGGGTAAAAATAACCAATTGAAACATTACTCTGGCAAATATGTAAACAATAAAAAATAGCAAATAAAATAGTATATTCAATTGACTCTTTTATCACATCTTTTTGGTCATTTTCTGGACCTTTTATACACATGTATGCAATATGAATAAAAAATTTGTTTAAATATTTTAGTATAGCTTATTTAAATATAGTAGTATAAAAAGGTTCTTATTTGAATGAAAATACTTATGTAAAAGTTTAAATAATATGCTGAATTTTGAACTATATTCAAAATTTATCCGCTGATATAAATTCCACTCCTAACTGTGGCGAATAAAGTGCAAAATAACGAGTAAATAAATTTCATTTAACTATACGTGCAATATTCATAGCAACATTTCTATTTAATATACACATCGTCTCTTGCTCGATATAAAACCATTATCACTATATATACTTGCATTAAACTTCAATATTCCATTTACGAACGCGTAGTGCAAAATTTTATGCTTGTCGTCTTCTACTTCGGAGTTTCGTGTTTAATATTAATTTTGCAGTTTTCGTAGTGCTTAAACATCATGTAATAGCACCGAGAAAATATTATGCTGCGTTTAATAGACTTAAGTGAATAAAAAATTACCTATAAAGTCATGAAAGACAGTGTCATTCTGTGTAGAAAATGGGTGTAATATTAAAATTTGGATGGGTGTAAAAGAAGCATTATTATCAATTGGCTAATGCTAGCTAACCTGAAATCGAATACTTTCTGACATGCTGGTACAGAAATTTTAGTTCTTAAATTTAGTACTATTCTATTCGTATCGATAATAATTAATTAAACCAAATACTTCTTGAAGGCCACAAATAACATGCACATAATAAACTAGATAACTAAAATATGTCTTTCCTATTTGAGGTTCTATTTGGGTCATCCATAGAGTCAAATATAGTTCCTATTTGAGTCATCCTCAATGAAAACAATTAAAAAGTTATTAATACAAACGAAATATTACTTAACGAAAACCTTGTTAGTGAACCAAAAAAAAAAATTAAATATACTTCAAACAAGAAATGAACAAAAAAATAATAATGATTGACCATCACGCCTCAGACGACGAAGTATTACTTTTTTCATATAATTAAAAAAAAACAAGTCTAATCAATAACAAAATGAGATGTATACACAAGCCGATAAAAAATAGTCATAAATTGGATATAGAGATATACCAGAGAAGTATTTTGTATAATCAGCATATTAAAATCCACCTGATAGAAATTTGAATCAGTTTGACAACCAACATTTCAAACCTTTTGATATAAAAAATTCAAAACAATTCAAAAATAAAATCCGGATTGAAATTTGAATATGATGGATCAATACTATTGATTAAAGTGTTTGTTTAAACTTAAATAATAAATAAAATAAAATAATTAAAGATTTGAATAAATGAGTACATTGCAAAATTTATAATTAATAACCAAGTTCCTTTTATAAAGTTGATATATCCTATTTACCTTGCTAACATTTTAAAATGTTCTTTGATGATGTATTTAGGAATGGTTTCATTGGTCACATACTATTAGAAACTTGCTATGACCCCTTAATATTTTCTTTGGAATTTTTCCATGAATTTATGACTAGACACTCACCGATTTCAATGATTTTTTTAAAACTTGTGATTACTTACGAATTACTTATAATATATATATGTATATATATATATATATATATATATATATATTCGAATTTCTTTGATCCCAGGGGCCCAGATGCCTTCAAAATGATAAAAAAAAAATCTTTAAAAGTTTTAGCTTTTAATATTAACTTTCAGATAGTCCGCACTCCCAGTAGGTAAATTTTCTGTCATCGATTTTGAGCCCAAGTACTGTTATTATTTTTGCATTAGTCATACCCAACTGAAATAACTTTCTACAGTTCGATATTTTAAAAGCGTCGAATGATATCCGGACTCTTAATCTTCGTGTCATTATCGATTTCGTCTAACTTTGTATACGAGTTCACTCACACATTGTAGTGATTTATCTCATTGTCGCTGACACATTTGGACCGGCAATGATTCGATATTCTGCGGCTTTGGCACTGATGCAATTACAAGGCGTCATCTTCTCTGCGTTCGCTCTCTGTGTATCGTATGTTCGTCTGTCGTCTGTTTACCACGGTGTAGCGCGCACACAATGCGACTTCGTCCTCCCTTCTAGGCACGTGTGTTGCTTGCATTGTATCGGGCGGTGGGGCGGTAGGCTCTAGGCACTACTCTCCGATCTCTTAACAAAGAAAACTCTTATAGATTTTCGATTCCGATTCATCTATAGGGATAGATGAATCAGAGTTATCGGAAGACAAAATTTGTACTTCGAAATTCAAATTGTACTTCGACTTCGACTTCGGGCTTCATATAATGAGGGCTAATTTAATGTATATTTTATTCTGTAAAAGCAATTTTTAGTGTTTGAACTTAAAGCTTATACATTCATTTTAAACTGGCTATTCAAATTCAATATCAAAATCATAGATCTAAAAAATAATACTATTTTTAGAATGTGTCAAGTCATTAGTTTTATTTAATTAATTATTATATATAATTTTCATTAATATTTATTCTAAAAATATCTAGTTTTTTTTTAAAGTTGTCATATCTTACCACACATCATTGTGCTCTTCCTGAATTTTAATGTAACATTTTTTGCATCCGGGATGAATTGACTTCGTAATGAAATGCAATTGTTAGTAATATAAGTTTAATATTAATAATAATCAAATGATTAATTCCATTATTAATATTAACACATTGTAGAATTATTATTCACCATGACTCAGTATGTTCAGATTTGGGTATGAATTTTTTTAAATAATTTATGTTTAAAATATAGTTTATAATAAGAGAACTTTCCAGATCTTACTTAGAAATTTTATCACGTAGGCTTTTGAATAACAAATTAATGAAAATGTATTTATCCTAGTAAAAAATATCTAGCATTTATATCCTGATGAACTAATATTCATTTAATAATATATAGTATAATTCATTTTTTAACGTTTTTATTTTTTGTTACAGGTTGTGCTTTTGTGAAGTTTAGCTCACATCAAGAAGCACAGGCAGCAATTAGTAGCTTGCACGGGAGTCAAACTATGCCAGTAAGTGATAGGCTTATAAGTAATTATATATATATATATATATATATGTGTGTGTGTGTGTGTGTGTGTGTGTAGCGATATTAGGATCTCATTTTTATTGTGTAAAATATTTCTGATATTATTTACTATTGATGTGTTACCAAAATCTTTCACCATTAAGAGCGTTTCAAACTAAAATCCCGCCGCTTCAATAAATTTCACCTCGCGAATAAAAATAGCCGAAAGCTTTCATAAACCCTCAGTATGTCGTTTTCAGTCTATCGGTCACATGCGCCCGATACAAATAAAGCAATCTCTTCTATAAAAGCGTATTGCTTCTTATCAAATACTTTGTCGTAGTCCTTGATGTCTGTCCGAGAAAAGAGGAGCCGATGAAAGCCTTCACATGCACACCTACATATAGGATGTAGGAGTCCTCTCATAGGGATTCGCTGATGTGAAAACTCCGCGTCGGCAACACCATTGTCCGTCCATTACGACGACACAAAGACTCGCCACCATTTTATGTTTCATTTCGCGAAATGTCCATTCGAGCACTCACTCTATCCACGTTTATAACTCACACCGGGACTGAAATACTGAAATACTTAAGCATAGACGGACAAGCGTCTTACGCCTAAGTGGTTATTTCAATAGGAAGTGCGATGAGTAAATTATTAAACTAAAGCACCACTCATCATCATCATGCAATCAAAAACTTATGGTAAAAAATACTCTTTATGATTCAATATTTTGATTCTTAAAATATTAATAATGCACAAGATTTAATTCAATATTTCAATTTATATTTCATTTCATTGGCATTATTGACTTATTTGGACTTACGCGATAGAGCTTTGGGGCTCAAAACTACTTAGAAAGATATGTGCACCCTGATACATTGGCAATAAAACTCTGCAGACCTGGAATCGTTATATATTAAAGACTTTATAGAAACAAGATCAACTAATCATCATCACAATTTAGAGAACTACCCCAATTCACTCCTTGCTCGCTGCTTCTACATTATACTGAAATTAAAAAGATTGAAAAAATTATGGCCAATTAACTTGATCCAGTTAAATTGTATTTACTAGTAAATACTTACTGGGGTAGCTACTGCCTAAAATTTGCATATTTATAAGTCTTTGTCGTTTTCGTTACATAATATTAAGTTTTCTGAAACAACTCGGTTCAACTCCAAATTCAACTGAAGTATACATTATCTGTGGTTTATGTGTAGTACTGTAATTCTGGCACCTGTAATTCTGCCCACTATATTTCGTGTCTGGCAAATTAACACTGGGTTTGCGTGATCCTACAATAGTGGTATAAATGGTGGTATGGTTGGTACAGGTGCAGTTTATGGTGTCATCGCGAGCGCGGACCCACTTTATTCCGAAACGGTCCGTCATTACTCTGCGCGTCGCTCTATAATAAAACTCGTTAAACTCAGGAGCGGGCGCATTCGCTACGTTCTGTCTGTCTTTTGTCACATGCGTCAAAACCACCGACGCGATTTGGGCGGTTCGAAAACTTTATGTGCGAATAAGCGACGGGATGAAAATGAATTATTTGTTACGATCGTCCAAGAATTTTATGTTGGATTATTTTTAGAGCTTTGGCTCGAATGTCTATTTTTTCTTATGAATTTTTTAATATGCTTTTGACTTTTTATACATTATACTGTAAGAATTTTCTTTAAATTTATGTGATGTGATCATTTATTATCAATCAGACTTGAAACTTATTTGCCTCTCGTTTTATTGTTCATATTTGATAGTGGGGACGCCTAAATATATAACTTTCACCGTATTCATTATGTTGTTTTCAAAACATCAGCAAATATATATATAAATGTATATATATATACATATATATATATATATATATATATGATGTTAGTTTTGTCGACGTTGATACATATTTGTAATATTTTTGAAGCCCCCATATTTTTTTTTTAAAAAAAAAAACGTCGAAAATTATTTAACATCAATTTATTATAACATCAAATATAGGAAGGCAATATGTGCTCCTTCTATTTCTCGTTAGTAAATATAATAGTATTTTATTATTTTACACAGATTTAGTGTTCAATCAATTTTTACATTTTAATTAATTTTTTCTGTTGTTTTTCCTGTTTTGATACTGAATGATGACACATGTTTTACTTTTGCTGTATATCTATTTTGTTTATGACTATTTTTTGAGCTAAGATTATCCTTCTTTCCAAAATATATCTCCTTTTAATTCGTTCTTCATAAATATTGTCCACACTTTGCATATGTAGGATGTCCTGTTCTTCAGTTACTATTAAAACCAAAAAAATCACTAGAAATAGTAAATATCTTCTTATCCAGAGATATTATCAATTTTATATTATCAGTATTTAATTTGACAAAAGCTAGTTTTAGAGGTAAAATGTGAATACTTTCAAGATTCGTATAATTAAAAAAGTCTATAAGAATGCAAAAAATTGTTTATTTTTAAGTCTCTGAAAGGACTTCAGTTCAGAACAAAAAAATGATATCAATATGTGTACGTTACTCAGTTGCAAAAATAAATTCAATATAATAGGCTTAACTAAAAGCAATAATATTTTTTTATAATAATCTTAACTATATTTTCAGTTCTTTATTCTGTTTTGTTCTGCATATATGTAAAACAATATATAAGTGTTTATATATAAGTTAATTATACATATATGGACAATACTTGAAGAAAAACAATTTTCAGTTCTCTCACAAAGCTTTCTTTGCATAATCCAGTTATTTATTTATATTAAAACGAATGTTATATTATTGATAATATATTTTATACTTTTTAAATAGGCATCCTTCCAGATAATAAAAATAGAAAAGAAACCTAATTATGTTTCTGAATTCAATTTAAATGAATTGCCATACGTTTCGAATCCCAATTTGACTCTTCTTAAGTAGACAAAACACACTAATTATTTATGCATAAAACACAAGCATATATTTGATGAAAGTAATACCTAAATAATAACCAATGTTAGTTACAAAAATATTATATATATATATATATATATATATATATATATAAGTGTGGGTGTGTATATAATAACCATGAATGAATTCCAGAAAAGGAATCAGAACCGACGTGAGACATATGATCAGATAATACCGAATGCAAATAATTTGTTATTAAAACCGCGACTGAGGTCACGAGTCAGTGTCGTCGTCGTCACCGGAGCGAGATCAAATAACGGAATGAATTTTTATTACCACCCCGATAAGCCGACCCCTTTGCTGGGGGGCGAAGGCCTGAGGATACTTAATCTCGCATTCAGGTGGCGCTCCGATCTCGCGACGCTTCGGGGAGTAAATGAAATGTCAGCGTATTTCCTGTAGTGAGAACGTATATAATACGCACGTCAATCGTCATATTCGTATGCGCAGATAAAATCATTTCGTCGGGGCATGTTTCAGATGATTTTCCTTGGTCCCGTATTGGATATACAGAAATTATTTTGACGAAATGTCGGGCTTTTGATGACGTGATGTTTACGTTTTTAATAAAATCATGGGAGTGTTGAATCATATGTAGGTTTTGCTTTGGATGTTCTAAAAAGAATGCACCAATGTAAATTTTATCAAAAATTTAAAATAATTAGTACGGTATTAATTATAGCCACTAGAAGATATTAACGATTTATAATAAATAATTCATTCTTTACTAATAATAATGTCACGTAATTGAAAAAAGCTAAATATATAACGAAAATTTAAGAACTCTATATATTGGTTTATGTGTATGTTGGTATATATTTATATTTAAACTACATAAAGTTTTGCCTCTAATAATAAGAATTTCCAGTGAAAATTGGTCCAAATTATACAAATTATTCATATTGATGAATAAAACGAAGATTTTCGAAAACTCTTAGTTCAATTCATTTGTGTCACGAATTCTCTAGTAGGTGTATTATATAGTGATATAAAATTTATTCAATTTGAACCATATGTTTCGCTAATGGTATACAATTTTTCTCGCACTTTAAAAAACTAAATTCGCGATTAAATTGTTTTAATTTAATGAGTTTTTAATTAGCGACTTAAAAAATTATAAATTTTCATTTCTTGATGTTTTGAGTTTATGTTTATATGACCTATTCTGACATCATAAAACCACAAATCAGTTGCAGTCAAGCTCTACGTATTAAGGCTTTACATTTCGCCCCGAGAAATAAATTCACTACACCCCTCCAGGCTTGGAATTGCGTCGCATCGCCCGGGGTGCAATGTCTAAGTGTTCTAGACCGAGTCAAGCTAAAAGTGACGTGACTTTAGACAATTTATATATTAGTTAAAGTACCTTCAGCCGTCAACGTCGTTGTATCACGTGCGTGTTGATGCTGCCAATTACCTTTGACCGTCGCGACTGGAGGTGTTCGTGAAATCATATCGCGTGCCACGCATTTACCTGCACGTTAAATCTTTCTGGTCACCTTTTAAGTCATGATATATTCCACGAGGTATAATATCTTTCGGCGACGACAGTAATTTAATGTCAAATTTAGTGCATGAAGCAGATTATCTGAGTTGAGTGTGAAAGTCTATTTATGTAGGGGAATTACAACGAGTTTATTATCATTTTTTTGTTTCATAACAATTCAAGGAATAATATTGGCCAAATATTTCTGTGTTTTGCCAAAGAATTTGCATTTGCTTCTAATATCCATATTTATAATTTCTAAACACATAAATATAATTATACAGATGCATGTATATATATATATATATATATATATATATATATATTATGTGTGTGTGTATATATAATTTAAATCTGTTTTAATGTTTGTTCTTTTCTATCAGCTAAAAGTTTATCATCAAAATATCCCTCTTCGCAGGAAAGCAAGTTAATTAAAGTTCATTTTAGTTTAAGACTTATTATAGGTTTTCAGAACCGAAATGATTGATTACATAGAGCTTATAATGAATGATGAGGTAATAAGAGGCGCACAAGAGCATAAGTAAATATCTGAGCAAAATAGA